GGGCTTCAGCAGACATTGACAACAACGTTCCTGGCTTTCTGCAAACGCTGACGTTCTGCCCAAGAACTTTGAAGAGGGGGGTGGGGGTGTTAGTGGCAGGGTAGGGACGGTACTTCCCACCCAGAAACTTTGAAAAGGGGGGTAGGGGTTGTAGTGTTAGGGGGTGCTCTCCAAGTTGCCCTTGATACTGGTAGGGTGATGGTCCTGAGTGCTGGTCACACTGGGGTGTTAGTGGCAGGGTAGGGCCGGTGCTTCCCACCCAAAAACTTGAAAAGAAGGTTGGGGGTTAGTGTTAGGGGGTGCTTGTCACTGCTATCTGGTGACTGCCCTCGATACTGGTAGGGCGATGGTCCTGACACTGAGGTAGGATAGTAGGGATAGGGGGTGCGCTGGGAGCATTAATGTGGGGAAGGGTAGGGAAGGTGGCCTATCCTGTCAGGACAAACACCGGCTGCCGCCGCCAGCAATCACTGTGGGTCTAGTCCTTGGCCTCAACAACACCATGGCTATAAAAAAAAAAAAAAAAAAAAAAAAGAGGTGCTACAGCCAACCGGGGGGGAACCGGCCTGGTCGACCGGCCGGTAGGACTGGTCCGGTTCCGGTTAGGAGAGGACACCCCAGTCCTACCGGGTTTTCAGCACTGATCTCCAGTCTATTTGGCGTAAAAAAAAAATTTCAAGATCGCATTTTTTGAAAGCCAAAACTTTGTGGAACCTTGCCCTAGATCTCGCTCACAGTACTCCCCCATAATGCCTCACTGATAGCAGATCGACAGATATACGAAAAAAAAAAAAAAAAAAAAGAGGGGGGGGTATCCTCTTCTTTTATTTTTTTATTTTTATTTTATTCTGTTGAGTAGGACTGGGAGGAAAGCACAGTCTGGTTGGTTACCTTCCTATGTTTTCCCTCCCATCCAACCCGTTGCCTGCATTCCCGGATTTGGGAAGTGCCACGTTAGCAACAGTGCAACATCAGCAGTGCCACGTCAGCAGTGCCCCACCACCATGACCGTTCCAGCTTTGGGCATGCCAGGCCAACTGGCCAACGAGTCCACAGCCTCGTACTGACAGCGGCTCCTAGCTCAAGCTGGCACTGGTCGAGGCTGAGGAAGATCGCGAGGCGGCAGCTGAGGCTGCCCACCTACAGGCTGAAGCAGAGGCAGCAGCTGAAAAGCAGCGGCTGCAGGCCGAAGCAGAAGTAGGAACTGGCGAATCTCCGACGGGCAGTGCAGAACCTCAAGGATCTGCATGAGGGTGCTACACGGGCACTTCATTCCCATGTACAGGACTTGGAGCAAGTTGCACCAAGACCAGATGCTGGCGAGTCCAGCAGTGCACCCCCTACCCGCCAATTGGAGGAACAAGTTGACCACGTAGTCGCAATGCTCGGCGACATCAGCACCTTCGCTGCACCAGCCACCATATTAAGCAGCTGGACACCTTGAAGACTGAGGTTCAGCAACTGCACCAGCTGCCCAACAAGGATGGCAACACCAATGCGCAGCACTACAAGATGCCGACATTCCGCATCGAAAAGTTCGATGATTATACGCATCAAGACCCGGTGATGTGGTTTCTTGAGGGAGAGGGGGCGGACATGTGGGTTCGCTTTCTTTTGGGGCTGGGACTGATCTTTTGGGGCAAAGATCTGGCCCGGCAGGGGCAGATGGAGGCAGAGGTATTGGGATTTCGTGGGAGGGGTAGAGGGTGACTCCAAAGGTCATGAAGAACAGGCTCTTGAGTGGATGGTTGGTTTGGAACTACTGATATCATTGGGAGAGGAGAGAGCCTTATCTTGCAGCAACAGCATATTGGAGGGAAGTGTTGCATTTGAGGGGGTAAGAGCAGTAATTGTGGGTTGCACTACTCTGGGGCTGGGGTTGATTGGGGGGTTGACCTTCGGCGGAGGCAAGTAGTCGGCAAGGGGACAGTCTGTTCGGGGTGACAGGCGGGGAGTCTTGGTATCTGCAGGCTGATGAGATCCCTAATTGTCTTCAAGTTGAGAAACTACAAGAAGTCTCGGTTCCAAAAAATAAATTGTTCTGCAATCTTTACTTCAATAGATGCCTAGTTAGTCTCATGAGCTGATCGGCTCTAGACTTCTCTCAGGAATTTCTTTTTCCATTCAAAGGGACACTGGGCCCGGTTCCCAGTCTGTACAAAAAAAATATCATGACGCATTCAAGGGACGCTGGACCCGATTTCCAGCAGGTGTTGCTCCCCACCAATAGACAGAGCCTGACTTTGAAAAAAAAAAAAAAAAAAAAAAAAAAAACCGGTCCCTTGGTGGGAGGGCTTTACGATGGAACTTCGGATTCTTTTTGTCCCCGAGCACTCGTACATCGGCGCGCTGTGTTTAACTCAAAAGGGCGGATGCCAGATCTGGCGCAGCCACCTGGCAACCATCTATGACGTCCAGGTCGCCGATCTACATAAGAAGATCTCTAGGGAAGAGTTGACGAGGTTATGGAAGAAGTGGTTCATCGTGGACGACGCCCCGATACTCGCCATCAACCGCCTCTTCGCCATGACCCAAGGCAACACACCGACACACGACTGGCTCACGGAATGGCAAAAGATTTTGGCAACGCCCGATCTCGAGTTGCCATTTTTGCATCTGCGCCGAGAGTTCTACAACCAGTCATGTGCCGCCTTGAGCCTCGCACTTGGTGATCACGAGCAATACACGACCTTCGCCGAAATCATCGACAAGGCAAGGGAGATCATCAAGACCAACAGGGCGGCTGCACACAAGAAGTCAATGTGGCAGCCAACCTATGTGGAGAAAGGAAAATTTGGTCCACCCTATGTGGAGAAAGGAAAATTCGGTCCACATTCGCAGCATATCGCTGCAGTCCAACCGGACAACATTGTGGAAGATCCAGCAGCGACCCAAGCGTCACGTGAGGGAGATCAGGTGGCCGCTGTCATTGAAGTAACAACAACTCCCAAGGAAAAGGGAAGGTGAAAACCGCATCGCGGGCCGAAAACGGACAGCCAGTACCAGGCAGTTCCGTTTGACCATATGTTCTCGTGTGACACCTGTCGGGACAGAGATGCAGCGCGCCTTGGCTGTGCCGTGTGACACCTGTCGGGACAGAGACGCGGTGCACCTTGGCTGTGGAATGCATCATCTATGCCATAGCCATTATCAATCTGCTGCGACTGCTGCTGTTTGTGCTGAAGGTGTCCAGCATTTCCTCATTGTACACACCCCTAGCACCCAGATATACATTATCCCTTTTGTGCCCAAGGACGCTATCGGAACTGCACGATGCCGCACTGTGATGAACGTCCTGCTGTTCTTTTTGAGATGTGGACAACATGTCCACATGTCAGGACTGTTTTGATGGGATGGGATGGTTCGTGCGAGCCATCCTGCTGAATGCTGTGCTGGTGCAGCTCTCCTTGGGTATCCTTGTGAACATCCACGTCATCCTCACCGTAGCTGTCCTATCTGCCGAGGTGGGGACAGATATAACAAGCCTTCGACATGACCGACAGATGCAGAGTTAAAGAAAGAAGAGGAAAATGAAAAAAAATGAAAAAAAAGAAGAAAAAGAAATTGAAAAAAAGAAAAAGAAAAAGAAAAAGAAAAAGAAAACAATGAAAATAAGTACAAATTGCCAAAAAAAAAAAATAATAATAATAAAATGTTTATCTGTGGGATGTGTTATTTGCTTTGTGGCAATTGGATTATCTGTGGGATTTGTCATTTGCTTTGTCTGTCTGATACGCTTTCTTTCCTTGTCAGGTTTGGTTTCCTCCTCCTTTTCTTTACCTCTTTGCCTTTTGGCTGCGTGCAAGTGGGTCCTTGTGCACACGGGGATGAGGGCAGCCAGCGCTCAACCTGTCATCCACGTGGCTGGCCTTGTACGTAAGATGTGATGAACAGGCGGGGCTTTCCTTCCACTTCTTTTCCTTTTCGTGTTTCGTCTTTTTCTGCCTTT